TGATAAAAGCATTAGCAATTAATCGCAACATGAAAATTTGATACCGGCATATCCCTAGTACAGAGAGACACGCAAGCACGCAGCTACACACAACTGTCATCTCTCTCTGTCTCTCTCTCTCTCTCAAACGATCGATCGATAATTCATTGAAATACATGCTATAATTCATTCAAATAAATGTGGTCTTACCGCACTATTTCATCTCTGTGTATGATTTGAAGCGGGCAGAATGCTAGCGCTAACGTGCCGTAACTGGCGAAAATAACTGTCATTTTTACCCATTCAGTCAAATATTGTGCTGCAAAGAGCAATACTAGTTTTAACTTGTCTATAACTTGGCAAATGACCATGGAATAAGCAGGATAATCAACGGCTAGCTGTGCATTAAAGGATTTAAATGCACTTTGCTTCACGTTGGGCGGTTCTTTGCCTCCACGTCGTGCATTTAAAATCCATTAATGCACGGCTAGCCGTTGATTATCCCTTACGTATATAATTCTGTCCTGTAGAGTCCTGTATAATTCCACGTGTGTACGGAACACGACTCACTCCCGAAACTGCCATGAATTGCATCATGGTAGCCATAGCAACATTGTGGCGTCTCAGAGAGAATAGAGGCCCTCAAATTAGCTAGTTTTGTGTTAGCTGCTACTCACAAAACAAACATTAGACTGCAAAGACATGCAAAAATCTGCAAAACGTTATTAAATCGCCATCGGGAGAGGCATCGTAATCTAGTTTTTTTCTTTAAACTGTTATTGAACAGCCTACACTCTCTTGACCATCGACCACAATACACCTCTCTCCACCATCCTGTCAGATCTGAGGTAAACACTTGACACCTGACGTACTGACATGACGCACATTGGCGTGCTTCTCGTGACATCATCATTAACAACTAGTTGTTCGGTTCGGTTCCGTACACACTGCATAGAATTTCTGTAAATGTGGTTGTCACTACCTGTATTTTAGTGAATTATGTGTGTACAGAATGCGATTAAGGAGTAAAAGGTATAATGATAATGATATAAAACATTTCTGATATTATATCAAATATTAGTGTTGTTTGTAATTTTTTGCAGATGTTTTTCATCCAATTTAACTCCCAGTGTACTAATTGCATTATAGGACATCCACCTAGAGCTACCTGTGGTTAAGTGCATTAATCAATGATATTTGTGTTATTGGATTCATGGGTCAATAACATACCTAAGATTGAACTTATGATTTTTTTTATTGCCTGCCCAAAGGCTTTAATCACAGGGCCACCGTTACACAATTAAGGTCATGTTTGTGCACATCTGTGGTCAGGTGAAGGGATGCTGCTAAACCCTGAGCGCTGGCTGTTTGCAGGCTCTGGGAGATTGGGAGGCCTGGCTGCTGAACTCTGACGTCTCTGTAACATGACACCTGATTGAGGACTCACTCACTGTGTTCTCTGTTACAGGCCATTAAATACTGGAAAGTTTTTTCCAGGCAATCTCTCTTGAATTTTATAAAGGGTGCAGGGATGGCTTCTTTATAACAAAGAAAATGTGGGAGGGTGACAGAACACTCGCTGCTAGTTTGGCGATGAGAACTGATACAGTCGTGTTGTTGGCATTTACTTCTCTTTTGCCATCCCACTTCAGTTTTTAAAAGAGCACTTGTGCCATCTGTATTCTTACAGATTTTAATGATTTGTCTTAAATTATGTAAACCGCTAACTCACTTGACATTTCTGTTAAATTTCCTTTGTTGCTTAGATTTACTTTTTATATATCCTGTTTGTCTATCCATTATTTCCTTTTAATTGTGTGCATTTATTTATTTATTTGTTTGTTCTTAAAAATAAAACTTTCGCATGCACAGTGCAACTAAATATTATCACTTCTATCCTGACTTCCACTGCATCCTACAAAAACTTTTTTCGACATTGATAACAATAAGAACTGTTTCTTGAGCACCAAATCAGCATTAGAGTGAATTATCATGATGTGAATGATCTGAATGATCATGTGACATTGAAAACTGAAAACTGGAGTAATGATGCTGAAAATTCAGCTTTGTCATCACTGAAATAAATCACACTTAAAATATATATTAAAATAGAAAGCAGTTATTTTAAATTGTAAAAAAATCTAAATTTTATTGTTTTTATATTTTTTATCAAATAAATGCAGCCTTGGTGAGCATAGAGACTAAAATCTTACCAACCCCAAGTAGTGTGCATAGTGGTAAAAATGTGCCTTGTTGGAAAATGTGCAAAAAAGTGGGTGGATATGTGTAGTGATGAGAAATATGTGATGCTGAAATTACCTTTAGTTTGTGTTAGCCTGAAGCCAGGGATTATTGTCACGTTTGTGTTATATTTGAGAGATTCTCTGATTATTTCCTGTAATCCTCTAATGCCTAGCTTTTTCTGTTTCTTCTCTTTCAGGAGCCAATCAAATCCAGAGCGCCTCAACTCCATTTGGAGTATAGATTTTATAAACAGCTGGGAAATTCAGGTAAACCTCACAGCCGTTCTAGAATTGTATGTTAAATGGTTTATGAAAAGCCGCTACCTACTCATCCTGTATGAGACTGATCATCCTTCAGTTGTGTGCTGAGAATTGTGGGGGCGGTGATTTCCAACCTTTTGATGTGGCTGCTTCACCCATCAGCAGCAAGTGACAGTGAAAAGGAGGAGGGTCTAAGATGGGGTTGAGATTAAGAGGGTATAAGGTAGTGCTGGGCGGTATGACCAAAAATTTATATCACGCCCAGCACTAGTATAAGGTGAGGGGAAGTCTGCTATGAGAAGGTTGTGTTCAATTCTTATTTATTGCGTAATGCCTCAGTGTGTCACTCTCCCAGATTTAAATGATCATTTGCTTTATGAATGAAGTTATAACAGATTAAATCTTGAGCTGTGTGATTGGAGAGCTACACCTGGCCATTTTGATTGTAATTACCATACATTGTTGCAGAGCCAGAAGGCTGAACTTCGATCCTTTTAAGCCCTACAATAAAAAGGACGTGCAGCTTGTACAAATCCTTGGTGCTTCCATCCATTTGATCACTGAACCGGAAGGTTGACTGGCACGAAGTGCAGCTCTAATTCACATCGACTCATAGACACCCTGCAATGCAATGATTTCATTCACTGAACGCCTGTCTCCAGAGCCGGTATCTGATCCTCTGCCAGCTCACCGGAGCCACTGCTGCCACCCCTGCAACATTAATAGCCAGTGAAAGTGCAGGCGTGCAGGGCAGGCCCGCTATATTTATAACTACACGACTCCTCGCAGCTGGGTTGCTATTATCGTATGTCCAGCACGTGACTGATTCCTCTCTAGAAGAAAGCCATATGTTCAGTAGTGCGTGAAGAGAAAATAAACATGGATGGCTATCATGGCTGCTGCTGTTTTGATCCAGGTCTTTCACAAGGCTAAAGAAAGAATAATAATTTATCTTTTATTGTTTGACTATTTACAGGGTTTCTGTGGGTCTTTAAGTCTTAAAAAGTGTTAATTCACGCTTCCACACATTAAGGCCTTAAAAGGTCTTAAATCAGAGCAGAAAATCTTAACTTAAAATAAAAGCATTAAATATTGCTTGCACTGCAAAGAATGAATATCTTCAATATCTTCATATCTTTAGTATTTTTGTCAGCATTTTTTCCAGTTCAAATGTCTAAACATCCTTAAGTCAAGATACATGGGTTGCAAAATGAAGATCAATTGGGTATGGAAACTTGTTTTCATTTTGAATTAAGTTGATTTTTCTTACCACACTGGCAGGTATTTGTTCTTGATTTAATCATAAACTCACTTTGGTCAATTTCTTAGGAAACAAGACTTCTAATTAGGGATGGGCAATATGGACTGAAAACTATATCACAATATTTTCTGGTGTTTGTTGCGATAACGATATCAATGACTATATAAATATAGTGCCATTTACCACTTGTTTTGGCTACTAGTGATAGCTGCAAGCTGTCTTGATCGCCTCAGAAACACAAACACTATGTTTGTATGTTGTTTGTCCTGGTCATTTTGTATTTGGCACATCTAAATATTGTCACGTTTTACTTGCATATAAAAAGAGAAACACAAACATTGGTTTAAAAGTAAAACTTACCCATCATCAGACAGGCTCCTAAAATAAACCAATTACATAAAAGAATAAAACTTTAGGCCTACTTGACATTGGTGTCTTTTCGCACATCTTCATACTCACACATCTTTTTGACTTTCTTACTTTCATACTTGGATTTGTGTTTGAGATGGTGGAACAAATTGGAAGTGTTTATAATAATGATAATAATATTAATAATAATAATAATAGTTATTATTATCATTATATTTTACAAAACAACTGCAGAAGTGACCTGTTAACATGCAGGGGGACTATAACTTTAAATCATTAGAAAGGTCTAAGTTGTATTAAAAAATATTAAATTATGATGATAAAAATCTATGACAGTAATTTCTTAATTTTTGTCTGGAAATCTTATGCATCCACTGAGAGCAAAAAAAAAACAAAAAACTGCTGTACAATTCTCTACACCATACTCCATAAGTATGGATTTGCATATGTTTACTTCAAATTCTTTAGAGAGAGGCATTTTTTTAATTTGTACCCAAAATAGGGTGTTATGCGCATTAGTGAGTACACATGTAATGTCTGTTTAATTCATACTCGTCAACAGAGGGCACCTTAGAGCAGAAACTCCACAAGTGAGACTCACAGAAGTAATACTTATGACATTCCAGGAAATCACATTGACAAAGGCCGCCAGTTATCGTTGAAGCAAAATAAACGCAGATAGAGAGGATAAACAGTTAGAAGACAATAAACATACGATTGCGCCAGTATATGGTTTATCTGTGTTCTTCAAGCCATCTCTGGTATTTTTATATGAATAAAGTATATTTATAAATGCTAATTGATCATACTGTACAACCCTGACCAAACCAGCTCCAGATTGTAGAGGTAGTTCCTCGTTCAGCGATCCTCAGCTTCATGTCCACCTTTCGCTGTACTTGTCTTTGCTTTGCACGTGAGTTGCAAATGGGTTGCACTAGGGCTGGACAATAATTCAATATCAATATGTATCGCGATATAATTTTTTTCAATAACGGTGATATGATTTTTAAACACATTTCCGATATTTCGATATACATTACCAGTTTCCCATACATTGATTTATTTGTGCCGTTTGACTTTGTTGAATAAACATGAGCACTGCACGTTTCAAAATCATAACAGGGCGCGGGTGTTTTATATGAATGTATCTCTGAAGGGAAAATGTGGAATAGTGTGTTTTTGTCAATAAAATAAAAAAAGAAATTTGTTTGTTTTAATCCGATTAATCGGGAAAATAATAATCGTCCAACTAATCGATTATCAAAATAATCGTTAGTTGCAGCCCTAATCGTGATATCAATTTTGGCCATATCGTCCAGCCCTAGGTTGCACAAAGAAAAATGTCATCAACTAGGCATTATCTTTATTATTGCAGGAAGACTAAATCTTATCATGGGGAGAATTTCTACCGGTATATCGCAAACGATAAGATATTGCCCATCACTACTTCTAATCTTATGTAATTTGGTTCCCAAGTAAATGTATCTTGATTTTAATATCTTTAGACATTTACACAAATATTGATATACTTTTTAATGAAATAAAAACTAATGGAGATTTGTTGGAAATTGTATTTTCACATGGTTGCTAATACAACTCATTGTGTTCTCCCTATAGATTTGTATTTAGAGAACATATTGATGTATTGTCTTCCCTTCAATTTATTTGTTAAATTGAAGGGAACACAATTACATTTTCATTAATTGGTCTTAAAATGGTTTTTAAAAAAGCCTTCATAAATTTATTGTCATAAAAATATATAAAATAGATTTAGAAGTATATTATAGGAGTAATTCACAAAATTATTTTGTTTGGTTTAACCGTCCCTTGTAGTGTTTTGGTGTATTTTACATTGCCCAGAATGTCACGCCTTGATCCTTAAATTGTTAGCTCCTTTTTTGCTTCTCTGCTCTGGACTGATGTGTCTTGCGCTTCAGAGTGTTAGATTATTCTCCCTTTCTGACGCCTTTTTGCTGGTGCATATCATTTATCCTGACCCTGAATCCAAGGCCTAAATTCTCAGGATACAGACATGGGATATAACAATATACTGGGATGGACAAACGACCACCAGGCTCAAAATGTGAAGAGATGTTCAGCATAAAAGATGAATGCACATTCAACCTATGATTTTCAATGTGACACTGGATCTTAAACAACCAGACTTTCTGGTAATGCATAACCATCACTTCAAAGTGAACCTCACTTTCCAAAGCAAGCCAGTGGGATCCAGTGATTCACAGTTGTAAAATCTGGATCTAAAGGTTTTATGAAGCCTGAGAGCGACAACTAAACCAGACCTTCCAGCTTTTCCAGCAGAGAATCCTTTGAGAGGATCTGCCATTGTGAGACTCGTCTTAAGCCCCCAGAGAACCTCTGCTCACTTAAACCTGCAGCTAAAGAAGAGTGTTAATTCTCTGCCGTACTGGAAAATGAGTCCAGGTCATGTTAGGATACTTCTTGGGGGCGTATTGCCACACTGTTCCATGATTCCACAGTGCTGCATTTATCATAAATAGTATCTTTGCTTTGCCCATCAACAGTTTTGTACCTTAAATGTCATACATTTTTATGCCTCTGTCAATTATTTAAAGCGTGAGACATTTTAAAGTGCAGCGAAGGGGAATTTGCTGGCTTGCTTGTGTGTCTTGTTTTAAATAGCTTTTGTTTAAATGTTTAATTGCTATTGTGCTGCAGATTAAAGCTCTTGAGTTTTTTTTAGCTGAGTTGGATGGTGTGACTGTGATTTGGTTAGTGGCTTTTCAATCGTTGCGTTCAGTCTCTGACATTTGGGGGGAAAGGGTCATGGAACTCTCTGCAGTACAGGCTTTGGATGTTTTATGCAGCAGGGCGGAATAACGCAAGTCCTCTCATCTCCTGAGTCACACTGGGACCTGCGCCGGCCGGAACGATCACGTTTCAGCCCCTGATTCTGTTCCACTGTCCCGCTAATGGAATCAGGGCCTTTTTGTTCTCCGGCTGCATGCTGAATCTTTAATATGCAAGCCTTCGCTCGGGCATGTATGCTAAACTTTGACATTCCAGTGTGTCTGCTCTGAGAGGACATGTGTTTGATGAACAATGAGTTGTGTTGTTTTCTCTCAGGCTCTGTTAGTGATGTAAGTGAGTGGGGTTTTGATATGGCAGAAAATCTCCTTGTTGAAATTTGGTGTCGCTGCACAGAGAGTGTTTATAGTGCAACGTTGTGCTGCAGAAAAAATCCATAAAGCCAGAGACTGCCTACATAGATGATTGGACACTTAAGCCACTTTTAAAAATGTATGAACTAATTTTGTACATCTACTAAAACTGATATGCTGATGACTAACAGCATTAGTCTATTGATTGATTGGTTGATTGATTTGTTTGTATTTTTATGTTTTTATTTATGCATGTATGCATTTGCTATGTTTTATTATTTTTATTTATCAATATCGGTTGACATTGATATTAATCAGCTAATAATGAATATTTAATCATGGTTGGATGTTTCTGCCTGTTTTTAGATTACTTTTGTTATCACTGTATTTTATCAATATTTCATGTTGCTATAGTACTGTTAGGGCTGTGAAGATAAATCAATGCATCGCGATTCATGGATTGATTCCGAATGCATCGCGATTCTCTCTGGAATCGATTCTGAGCTTAGCTTTTAACAGCAGATGCTGCTGTAATCTAGTTTTTAACTGCACACTCAAATGCTCATGAAGAAGAACACTGAAGAACTTGCAACTATGCTTGTGTGTTCAGCTGAGTCATGTAATTGCACCTTGGCTCAGAATGCTTTTCATTATCAGAATGCTTTTCATTTATCATTAGCACCCTATCGGATATCTGCCATAACATAAAAAGGAAAAATATCAAATTCTCTGTATAAGTCATAATGTTATTATCGGTTCATTCCTAATTGAGAGCTGTGACTTGCATGTCCAAATACTTTTTGTGGCCTCTGTAATTACTGCTCATCACATGCCTCTCTGTTGTGCAGCTTTTTTTGCATACTGCATGGATAAATTGGACTGTGCCTCCTCTCACAGCCCTGCTTTCTGCCTATATAATAATTATTAAAATATTTAATTTTCTTCGGTATGATTTGAAACCTGTCATGGCCTTGTTTGCAATTCAAGGAAGTGATCCAGCTGCGCATGGTTGTAATTTTCCTCCTTCTGATTGTCGAGTTGGCGTTGGGTTTAAACCTCGGATCTGGTGCTTTGATGAGTCAGCTTCCTGGCTACACTTTGGCCGTGGGCACATTCATCATCGATGTGGTTTCCAAACGGATCCGGCCGGCTAAAGTGCAGGCAGGTGTGTGCGCGTATTCGGCACCCCCACCCATGAGAATGACGTTTGCCAGATCAGGTAAATCCTTCTATAATCCTCCCTGGAGCTGGGTATTCCTCTGCTCGCTGTCTCAGTATGTCTCATGTGCCTCTGCATCTGACCATTGGACCGAAGAACACACACATGCGGGATTTGGCACAGGCGACCTAGAAATTGAATTGGAAACATTGGCAATGGGAGGCAGTTAAGAACTGTATGTCCTTGAGGTCTTGTTTTGTGGAGTCACACAGCAATGCTTGATTTTTCAAAGACGGCATCAGAAAAGTAATTATGCTCAACACCTGCTATTTGCACCAGACTATTTGCTTTGGTCTGTAACTTTAAGCTGTACTATGGTGCTAGGGGTGGGTGGTATAAGCAAATATCTATAGCACAATATTCTTAAAAATAAATATATTAAATTCATTTTTATTATTGATAAATATATTAAAAATGTATAACTTAAAACCATAATAATAATACATTGGTATATACTATTTTATTTATATTTTATTATTATAAATTATTTATACATATATTTACACATTTGAACTTTTTTTTTCCTATTTCTACTGTCATGAATATTAATTTTTGTATTTAGATTTATTTAAATATATCTGCTTGTCATTGCTTATTTAAACCTAAGCTAAAGAAATAAATAAATAGATATTTTTAGTTGTCATGTTTGCATCAAAATCTAAGGGGACACAGCCTTTTTTCTTTCATGTACAAGCTCTTTTTGCTCTTTGAATGCTCAATCCCCGCCATAAACCACTGTTTTGCATAATTGCAGTAGAAAATTTATACCAGTCTATGTAGTTTTAGTTGTTATATCACCCACCCCTGCTATGCTGTGTAGTTTCAATGGAAGCAAAACAGTTCTGTTGAATGATGTTCAAGTCATCAGCCCCGCCTTCATTAACCTTTCAGGTTCATGCCCATAGTCTGTGCACTGAGTAGTTACTGTGGGAGAGAACGTGCCATGTATGTGGGAAAGATCAGCTGTTTTACAGGCCTCTGTAAACTCTGTGAGCGTGAGAGTTGCTGTTTTAATGAATTGCATGATGTGCCCTCTCTCCAAGGGCTTGTTAGCAATGTTTTGTTCAAGGTGTTGTCATTATGGGTCCTGTCGGAGACGGTGGCCTGTACTGGCTGTGAACAGGATGCTAAACATTTGGTGGTGTTAAGAAAATAATCATACAAAACAGTTTCTCTAAAGGACAAAAACATAACAAAAGTTTGATATTTGAGATTCTACATTTGTATTTCACTGGGTTGTTAAATGAACATTTTGTCTTTGCAGAGGGAGTTCCTCAGGTCTTCTACTTCGGGCCTTGCGGGAAGTACAATGCTATGGTTCTGGAACTGCTTGGGCCCAGTCTGGAGGACCTGTTTGACCTCTGTGACCGCACTTTCTCCCTTAAGACCGTCCTAATGATAGCTATTCAACTGGTAAGCATCTGGTCAGAGAGCCTGGAGTTAGCTTTTTTTCAGCAATTTTGGTTTGTCTTACTACACATTTAGGATTTCTTTTGGCTGTTTTTTATATGATTTCTAGGAATCGTTCAGCTCTGGCATGTTTTTGTGGGATATTTTTGTGGGGTTTTTAGTCCAGAATGTCCTCAACAGCATCTTCCTTGTTTTTTCAGATAACACGTATGGAGTACGTTCACACGCGGAGCTTGATATATCGAGATGTCAAGCCAGAGAATTTTTTGGTGGGGCGGCCGGGGTCCAAGAGGCAGCACACCATTCATATCATTGACTTCGGGCTTGCCAAAGAATACATAGACCCCGAGACCAAAAAACACATCCCATACCGAGAGCATAAGAGCCTGACTGGCACTGCCCGATATATGAGTATCAACACACATTTGGGAAAAGGTGTGCACTCCTTTCATTTTCCTATGAAAACCAGCCTTGTATTTCCAAAATGTTAATTTTCTAGATTTATTTTTTTAAACTGATTTCTTGGGTGAAGAGGAAAAATAATAAAATCAGCAACTCACCTTTAATTACATACTTTCATTTTCCTGAGTGACTCACATTTATGTAACCCACTTATTCATGCAGTTTTAAATATAGCCGTCCGTCTCATTTTACAGCGAAAATGTACCTGTTGCGTATTTCAGTATGACATGTAACAGTTGTTGTTTTTCTTCCTCCTCAGAACAAAGCAGAAGGGACGACCTAGAAGCACTGGGCCATATGTTTATGTACTTCCTGAGAGGCAGTTTGCCCTGGCAGGGCTTGAAGGTTTGCACTTTTCTACCACACATTCTTGAAATTTTTTTTTTTCATTTTCATTTCTTCACCTCACGTAGGAGTGTTTTTTTTTTTATCTTTGTGACCTTTTTTTGTGGTATTAATAAAGGAATCCTCTGGGTTTTTTCCCCCTATGCACATATACAATACTGCTGAAAATGTTAGGGTTGGTAGTTTTTTTTAATGTTTTTGAAATAAGTCACTTTTGTTCACCAAGGATGCATTTATTTGATGAAAAATACATTTTTGAACAGTAGTGTAACCGAGAAGTGTGATGACATGGCAACAAGTGCAGATATCAGCTGCTCACGTTGTGCTTCAGTTTCTCAGCCATGTGTCATAGAGCAATCAGTCACATGGCTGTAGTGGTTGCGGTTGATTCTGAGTGCACACAGGTGTTAGAAGCTCAGCGCTTACTTGCTGCAGTGCTGTCTCTCACACTAAGTGTAATTCATCACTTAAAGAGATTACATGGAAGGCTCATGACAGTAGGGTGAGAATGAAAAAGTAAATGTTAAAAAAATTGTAAAACCATCTTCTATTGTTGAGTCATTGCCTATTCAATAAAGCTAGCCAGAGGCAAAATCTTGCCCTGGATTTGTGTGTTGCATATGCTTAATTACATTTCAGCCAGTTTTAGTCTTTCATGAGGAGTTTGTGGGTGGGAAATCCCATAAAGGTGTGTGTTTTCCATACAGGCAGACACATTGAAAGAACGTTACCAGAAAATTGGCGACACCAAGCGAGCTACGCCGATCGAAGTGCTATGTGAAAGTTTCCCAGGTTAGTGCCATCGATTCGGTCATGTCAAGCACAGTAGCATGTGAAGTGTTTCCCTTAACTAACGCCATTCCTATTTTTACACACTGCAGAGGAAATGGCGACCTATCTGAGATATGTGAGAAGACTGGACTTCTTTGAGAAACCAGATTATGACTACCTGAGGAAGCTCTTCACAGACCTCTTCGACAGGAACGGCTACATCTTTGATTACGAGTACGACTGGGTCGGCAAGCCTCTAGTGAGTGTTTGGTTCCTCCACAGACACTTCCTCAATGCCTTTCTTGTGTACTTCAACTGTCAAATGCCTTTGTCATGCTACGTTGGGTTATCATGTATGCGTGTGTGAGACATGCTTAACGGTGAGATCATTGTTGTCTTTTACAGCCTACACCCATAGGCCCCATCCCCACAGACACACCCCAGCCAAGCAGCAGAGACAAAGCACAACCACAGACCAAAAACCAGGTGAGTTGGGTGCACACTCCAGGTGAGTGTTCTGCCCACTTTTCCTCTTTGGATATGTGACCAATCAGAATAAGCCCTGATGCTTTTGGCCATACACATTGATGACAGAAGAAAAGCTGTTAAAGGAGTTGCTCAGGTTTTGCGTGATGTTACAGTTGTGCAATGCAGTTTCTGAACTTCGATCATGTGATTAATTAGTGGGATGGAAGGCTGGTTAGTTGTGTCTTGCTTGATGTAAACAAATCTGTTTTACTTGCTTAGAGACAAAGTTCCCTGCTGCTGAATCAAAATCAGTGGCAGTATCAGCACTGTCTTCACTTTCTGTAGGGCATAAATGTTCTGACTTTAACCATATGGTGAAAGTCCATGAATATCATGTTCCTGGATCTGTTTTTGTCCTGATATCTGGATGATTGTGACAATGTGGACAGGACAAGAATTCCTCAATACCGATTCTCCCTTTTCTTCTTTTGTCTAGATACACTACCTTTCGAACATTTGTTGTCAGCAAGATTTTTAAATATTTATGATAGAAGTCTCTTATGCTCACAAAGGCTGCATTTATTTGATCTAAAATACAGTAAAACAGTAATATTGCGAAATATTATTAGAGTTCTAGATTGTTTTCTATTTTAATGTAATTTATTCTTGTAATGTCAAAGCTGAATTTTCAGCAGCCATTACTCCAGTCTTCAGTCACGTGATCCTTTCTTATCGTTGACAAAAATGGTTGTGTTGCTTAATGTTTGTGGAAACTGTGATGCATTTTTTCCGGATTCTTTGATAAAGAAATTTCAAAAGAACAAGCATTTATTTGGAAATAGAAATTTTGTTACGTTATAAATGACTTTACTGTTATTTTTGATCAGCTTAATGCATCCTTGCTGAAAAATATCTCTTCTCGAAAAATATCTCTTATCGACCCCAAAATTTTGAATGGTAGTTTACTTTTTTAATTAGTCCTTGTCTGGACTTCTTGCTGTCATTATGTAACTCTGGCACATACACCATTTCTTTGTTGCTCACCCATGTCCCAATGAAATCACAAAATAAAATGTAGCCAAAATGTGCCCCTGTTACTAATATACATCCACTAACAAACAGACAGTGTTCTTCAGTGCAGCATAGAATGCCACCCTGGAAATTCAGATTTTATTATGGCTCATCCCTCCATTCCTGTGACATCTTTAAATCAAATCTATCAAATGTGTCCTGATGTGCATTCACTAACATACAATTGCAATTTTGCTTGTTTTTTTAAAAAAATGTAAGGTAGCCCCAACTCCAAAATCCCAGTTTAACCCTTGGCGATGAGTATCTCTGCATTCATTTCATGCTACATGAGCATAAAATGAGCTTAAAAGTCTGGTGGAAGATTATTGTATCTGTATGTGCCCCTCTGCTTGTGCTTGCATGTCTTTAAAAAACAACGTTGAAAGAGATATAATGGTAGTGTTCATGTCATTATTTGTGAAAACCCACATTGATTTCTAATAGCAGCCTTACTTAATTCTGCATGTTTGCTGGGATGTTCATTTGTTTGTTTATTTTTTCTCACTCTTTTTTTTTTTCTTTCTTTATTTCCATTAGTTTGTGTCATTCACTTATAACTTTTATCTTAGTAATTGAGCAAGCTTCTGCATGTGAGATGTCTTCTTTTTAATGTTTTATTTTTCGTTTGTTTGTGTTTACTCACCCACCGGCCCCTTCCCATCATACCTCAAAATCTCCATCCATCTCACCCTGTCCCACCCTCCATGCTTCCCCACCCAAAATGCTCTTCCACTGTCGATCAGTCACCCGAGCCCAAAGGAAGTGAGTCCCAGCCCACTCCAGTGACCAATAAGGAGACTCTGGGGTCGCATCTCACGGCCGAGAGGCTGGGGGGCTCAGTGCAGGTACTGCTTACGCCGTGGTGTTGCTTTTTGAGTGAGCGTGACTGTTTCTCTCTGTCTTTCGCACACTCATTCATCTGTGACGCTCAGCTTGCTCCTTTAGGCTCTGAACACACTACAGATGGCGACAGTGCCGTTCCTTGGAGATACCATGTGTTTTAAATAGAAGCTATCAAGCATTTTAGTTGGAGAGCAGCTCACGGTGTGATAGGATCTAATGGATGCTGATAGATTTCAAAAGAGAAACTCTAATGTGGTGTATTTGTAAGGCACATGATGAGACACATGTGCCACCTAGTGTTGGATTTTAGAATGATATCCCATGGTCTAACACAGATCTGGTGTTTTTCATCTCAAATCTTAAAGGCAGAGTAAGTGATTTCTGGTAGCCAATGTTGATATTTGAAATCACCAAAACAAACACGCCCCTACCCCAAAAGGGTCTTGCCCCTCTCTCCTCCACATCACGAGTAGACACGCCCCTTATTGCTGATTGGCTACAAGTTTGTTTTGCTATTCGGCCCGAATCAGTTTTCTAAAGTGTTTTTGAAAAATCACATACCCTGCCTTTAAGATAATTATATCTTGTGAATATAATAATCCTCAGCATAGGGTTATTATAGTTTTGAAGTTATAATTTTGTTTTGACTTCTCTTTTGTTTTCAATTTGTCTTTACAATTTAGTTTTTGTGTTAAAGGGGTCATATGATGCGATTTCAAGTTTTCCTTTCTCTTTGGAGTGTTACAAGCTGTTCGTGGATAGATAAGATCCCTAAAGTTGCAAAGAGTAAAGTCTCAAACCCAAAAAGATATTCTTTATAAAAGTTAAGACTGGTCCACGCCCTCCTAAAACGCCTCGTTTAAACACGCCCCACATATCTACCTCACTATGTGGAAATATTTGCATAATGCGGCCCAAATGAGCACGCAAAGAAAGAAGGCGTGGTTTCAGTAACCGCAGTTAGTGTTGAAGCAGCATGTCAGG